CCTCTGCCCGCGCCCCGGGCCCCGCAGCTTCCCAACCCCGCCGCCGCCCGCGCGCGCTAGCCCACCCCAGTCGCCTAGCCGGAGCCCCAGGAACGCTCTCCGTGATTGGGGACACGGCAACGGAGACCCCCCTCGTGGAGTGAAATTCAATTCACGAGCCAGTTCTCAGCGCGGTCGAAGCACTGAGGTGAGCTCGGCCTGCGCTGCGGGACACCGGAGCCCAAGAGGCCTGGCTATGGACCTGTGGGGACCCGGCTCAGGGCAACCCTGCTGCTCGGGTCCCTAGCCAGATGCGTGTTGGCTATCTAGCTCAGCTTCTCTTCTCCGGGGACCTGGCGACATCCCTCCTTCAGCCAGACGACACCACGGAGGAGCAGAGGACCCGCGCTCCAGGATGTGCCCGTCTGAGATGGGGACGCTGTGGCACCTCTGGTCTCCTGTGCTCATCAGCCTGGCCGCCCTTTTCTCCAAAGGTGAGGACCCTGAGGCTACCTGGGCCCTGGGACTTAACTTTGCAGGGAGAGAGAGAGAGAGAGAGAGAGAGAGAGAGAGAGAGAGAGAGAGAGAGAGAGAGAGAATGTGGAGCGGTCTGGGAGAGACGTGGGCGTGTGTGTGTGTGTGTGTGTGTGTGTGTGTGTGTGTGTGTGTGTGTGTGCATGCATACGTGTGTGTGCAGGAGGCTTGCGGAGCCAAGGTCCGGGGCAGGCCCCTGGCAGCAGGTGATTTCCCTGGAAGTCTTGGTAGGATGCCCTAGGAGAGTGTGCCTAAGCGACTAAGGGGAAATGGGGAAGCCTATGCTGCCCTGGACCTGGAACCTTCCTGGAATTTGGAGTGAACTACGCAACTGGCCCAAACCCTTTTGGAAATAAACCCGAACAGCTCTGCTGTATGGGAATGTCAGCTAGTGTACCATGGGGCTGCTGAGAACGGCAGTTGGCCAGAGTCCCTTTCAGCCCCGGGTCTCCTGGGTCCGCCTCCTGCAGCTGTTGTGGTGGCGACAGTGTCTCCGCAGGATGCTCTGAGTGACCCAAGTTGTTCCAGTGGGGTCCTGACCTGAGGCTGTGAGTAGAGGCAGGAAGCCCCTCCCACCCCCTGCTCTGTTACCATCTCCCTCAACTCCCTGTCTGGTGGTACAAGCAGTTTGGAATCTTGGGACAGAGATGCCTTACAGAGCAATGGATATCAGCAGATGGACTCTATGCACTGTCCTGGTTGCTCAGGTGCTTTCTATTTGTAGGTAGCTTCCTCCCCCCCCCCCCCCGCCCCACCCCTTTTTCTACAGCGAAAGTCAAGACACTTCGCTGTCTCCCGTGTTCTGGAAAAATCCTGTAAACATATTTTTCTGTGACTATATTTCAGGCGACGCCTCTCTTTGAAACTTCCTAGTCAGTTGACAAGCACAATCTCTTAATGATATGTTGATTTTGGTTTCTGGCTTTTCTGGTATCTGGGAATCTAATTGCTTTGGATCTCACAGAGTTCGGCAAGATCTCTTGCTGGGCTTTTGCGTGGGAATGGTTTGGCGAGGGAGGGGATTCGGTGTTTATCTGCTCCACTGTCTTTTCAAGTGCTGTCGGAAGGGGCTCAGGTCTGCTAATGAGGAGGAGTCACCGCCCGCGCCCCAGGAGCCACAGCTTTGGGGATGCGGAATACACTGGGCATCAAAGAGGTTGGTGAGATAGGCAGGCACTGGGTTAAAAACTTGCCTCCAGGACTGAGATGCCACTCTAGCATGGCTGGGAGGCGTGCTGTGCTGTATCCTTGTCACTTGGTTTGATAAGAATACAGGTCTCTGTTTTTATTCTGCAACAAGATTTTATTAAGCAAGGTAGAGTGGCTTTGGACTCCACAACAACAATGGCGTTCCCTCCCGCCCTTACTGATTTCTTCATTATGAGCAGCAACTGTGATGAAGGGTGCTGCCTTTCCCTGGGTGCTTTTGAACTTGTCCTTAATCAAGATATTGTATGTTGGGGGTGGTGGTGGGGGGGGGGGACATCTCCTTTCTGAATGGCTAGAACCCAGCTTGTCAGTCATGTTCCTGGCCTGTCATGCAGGGCAGGTTCTGTGTGTGGACTTCGGACACTGAGCCTTGCTCCAGTCAGACTGCTGAAGCCACTCAGCAGAAGGAGGGGAACTTTCTCGGGGCAGCTGGGCGTGGAGCTGAGCACGTGGGAGATCGCTCGGCCCTGGTCCTCAGCTGGGAAGAGTGAGGTCGGTGGGATGGTGTCAAGTTGTGTGACAAGGGATTTCATGGGGGCAGACATGACATAAACCCCAGGACAGCCCAGTGTGGGTCCGTGTTTTCCTACTTCCCTCTCTACTTGTGTGGCTGCTTGTAAGTTCTTCCTAAACACTTAACTGCTATGTGTATAGCAAGTATGTGCGCATGTAGTTTGCATATGAGTGTGTGTGTGTGTGTGTGTGTGTGTGTGCAGATGCGACTGTGTGTGCACATACACATAGAGGCTGGAAGTGGACACTGGATGTGACTTCTTTAACTGTTCTCCATTTTATTTGTTGAGGCATGGTCTCCCGCTGACCCCAGAGAACACTCACTCTGGCTAGCATCTCTACCCAGCATACTTAGGGGATCCTCTGTCTCTGAGTCCATATTGCTGGGATTATAGGTGGTGGCTGCCATGCCCACCAGGCGTTTACATGGGTGTTGGGGATTAGAACTCAGGCCCTCGCCTTTGCAAGGCAGACACTTGATCCACAGAGCCATCTTCCTGCTCAGCTTCTAACTTACTGGAAGTCAAGTATAGGCTATAAGGGAGAGAATTTCAATCAAGTAAATGCCTGGGATCAAATGAAATGTGGAGTTAGTATCAAATATAAATATCCACTTCATTATGTTACTGTTTTTACTCAATAGGAACCCTTGAATACAATAGAACACATATTTTCTGGTGTCAATGACCTTGGCTAATCAGCCCAGTGACCTTGGACTTTATATATGTGTTAGTTTTATGAGTAGATACTGCAAACTTACCCTCACATGGCTCTGGGAATTTAAACAGAAATAAAATGTTCTGTCTTGTATTTCTGTCTCCTCGGGACCTAGGGGGCCATGAAAAGAAACAGACAATTTGCTGTGGACCTTGGTTTGTGGCCCCAAACTTCTCTGGAGAACGGTCTTCCGCCGTCAGAAAGCTCATGTCTTGTGTTCGCACTGTTGTTCCGGTTAGAAACTTGATGTTACTGCCTGCAGATGTGTAAGGACATGGCTCTGAGCTTTCCGAGGGAAGCAGGTATGAGGACACTTAGCTGAGAAGGAAAAAAAAAATCTGCGGGCAGACTGGAGACTGCCAGAGACTGAGGCGGGCTTAAAATGCAGGGGCTGGAAAGCTGCCCCCTTTGGGTCACTTGTCCTCACCTTCTCTTGCACTAGTCACTCTGCATTTTGGTCTCGGCCACAAGCCTGTGGGAAGCAGACATACCCATGTTGCTGGGAGAGATGCAGTGTTGTGACGCTTGTGCCTGGGCCATGATGCAGTGTGTGCTGCCTGCTGGGTGCATGGGAGGTCCTGGGGGTGGAGCAGGGCGGGGTGGGGTGGGGAGGGGGTTGAGGCTTGTCCTGGATTGTCTGCTTTGGTGGGTGTCAGGGCAGCTCCTGCTAAGGGAAGGTTGAGCTCCTGCAGCCTTGGATGGTAGAGAGAGAACCTTGGTGTATAGGGTTTATAGTGATTGTCCCATAAAAGGGGGTCCGTTTGGGGTATGGAAAACTTAGGAGGAGAGATGGCAAGGGAGTGTGTGTCTATATGTGGGGGAGGGGAGAAAAAAAGAAAGAGGCAAACTGGCTTTGTTGTTCCTGTTCAAAGGCTTCTCTTCAAAATGAGAAGGCGAGGGGCTGGGGGGTGGGGGCGGCAGGAAGCTTTCTTTTGTTTGAATTCATGATGTAATGGGATATGATTTTATTAAAAATAACATTTTCACATGGCTGGTTAGGTGTGGGGTATGCCTGTAATCTCCTCAGGCCAAGGTAGGGGGATCATTAAGTGCCAGGCAAGCCTGGGCTACACAGTAAGAATACGTTTTGAAAACAAAAAACAACTCACATGCCTAAGGTTTTAAGAGTTGTAAGGTCTGTTTACATGAGTTCCACTCTTAAAAAGCCAAGAAAAAGGACTGAACTATATATTTTAAAATATAGGGCCTGGAGAGATGGCTCAGAGGTTAAGAGCACTGATTGCTCTTCCAGAGGTCCTGAGTTCAATTCCTAGCAACCACATGGTGGCTCACAACCATCTGTAATGAGATCTGGTGCCCTCTTCTGGCATGTAGGTATGCATGTAAGCAGAACACTGTATGCATAATAAATAAACCTTAAAAATATATTATTATGGAAACATACATCACTGCAATATTTTTTATTTATTTATTTATTTATTTATTTATTTATTTATTTATTTATTTGGATTTTCGAGACAGGGCTTCTCTGTGTAGTTTTGGTGCCCCATCCTGAATCTCACTCTGTAGACCAGGCTGGCCTTGAACTCACAGAGATCTGCCTGGCTCTGCCTCCCAAGTGCTGGGATTAAAGGCGTGTGCCACCACTGCCCGGCACTGAAATATTTCTAATTCATCCATTTACCATCTATTTATTTAACTGATTATTGTCCATCTAATCCATCCGTCCGTCCATCCACCCACCCAGCCACCCAGCCACCCATCTATCCATCCATCCTCTTTCCATTCATCCATTCCCTGTCTTCTGGGGACACAGGGCTGGGTCCTCAAGAGTCCTCACACTGAAGAAGCTTATGGCAGTCATTTCTCTCACGTTCAAAGTGCCACACGCCGCTTTGTTAAGGAGCAGATGTAAACCTTAGTGGCTCTGTATTTAGCAACCCCTCTTTCCTTTTATCTTGTGGCTTCCTTCATCCCCTCCCTTTTCTAATTCGTGACGATAATGCCCCTCCCCCCAGTAGCACTGTTCCCCCTGGAACACTGGATGCAGGGGATGTCGTAGTGAGAAAAAGGCTGTGCGCAGGCTGGGTCTGGCTTCTCAGAGCCTGTGGTATGTGGAGCAGTGAGAGAAAGCATGCCCAAAGGAAACTGAGTTAGTACTGTGGCATGGACTTGCAGGGACAGGAGTGATGTCTGTGCACCAGCAGTGACCAGAGGTTGCCCTCAGCTGTGGGCACAGCCTGGGTGGGAATCGATGCCAAAAGAGGTGAGAGTCTGCACCGTGGGCTAAAGAAAACCAGGATAAGGTGGAACAGAAGGGGTGATGAAGGTCAGATTGCTGCGTGGAGGGGGAGGGTAGTGGGACAGAGAGAACTGGGTGGACAGCATCAGCATCAGCTCTCAAAATTGTCCAAGTGGATGGGAAACCTTGTGGTCTCTTTTTCATGTGCTGTGTGAGGGGCTCAACTGGTACAAACAAACAAACAAACAAACAAACAAACAAACAAACAAACAGACAAACAGAGATGGCTCTGTAAGTAAACACATTTGCTGCAGGTGA